GCTATTTAATCGTAATCAGAAAATGATCATATAGGGCTTACACACGGAGCCGTTGGACCCCCAGAGCGTTGCGTATGCCGGTCTACCCACCTTGGGACCTCCCCCCCCACAGAGCGGAGCAAGGCAACGAAACTTAAAATAAGAAGCAGCATTTTACGGCGCGCTATGGGGGCCGTCTTGAGGGGGTTTCCCGACATGTCGTTTCAGTAAATTAAAGGGTGTTTCATGTTGTCGTTGCTGTGGGACTTCTTAATACCTTGGAAAATGCCGTTTAATACTTTTTAATACTTTTTAAAAGCCTTAATTTTCGCTAAATTGATTTATCAACTTTTAATACTTTTTAAGAACCTGCGGACACCCTGCTTAGTCTACTTTTAAGACATTAAAATAACGTATTCCAATTTATATTTTGTTTTCGCGCGTGGAATTATACCAGCTCTCGTTTCAGTACACATAACAACGGAACCATAGCAACGGAAATGACAGGCAACGGAACTGACAGGCAACCGTCAGAAACGTGACTCTTACACTCTTTACGTCAAAAAAAATTTGGTGGGTGAGAATAGATCTTTAAAACGATAAGCAATGCGCCAGAATCAAGGTGAGACTATCGGCATCCTTTAAAACTCTACGCACATTTGTTTCACCGAAATAAGTAAACGACTGTATTTGAGTGAGTTAAGGCATTAGTTTGCTTCATTAAAGGATGTTAATGAATAAGTGTTCCCCAGTGCCTTTTGTCCGCTTTAAGGTATTATTAAGGTAGGGTTAATGTTGCTCTCAAAGTGCACCAGATTGATGCTTTTAACTTCAATATTTTTTTTTAAATCGTCCCGGGGGAGCATGCCCCCGGACCACCCTAAAGGAGGCGACGACCCCCCCTAAAGGGTGTCAGGTCCACCCCCCACTTGTAAAAAAATAGCACTTTACCCCTGCACCCCCCAACAACTCCTGGGTTAAGCCCCGGATCTCCTACAATCCTAAATCCGCCACTGTATGACACCTATTATATATTGTTGTAAAAGAGTATAATAGGGGACCTTTAATAAGCTTCCCTTTTGTCTTGCCAAAGGATGCAAGAGACAAACTGATTTTAGGTTAGGGTTGGCTTGTTTAAATTAGCTATATAGATTTGGATTATATTTATAAATGGTTTGCCGCCATTTTGGCAGTGGTTAGTTGACTGCTGTACCTCAATTTAAAAAGGGATATATTACAGCAGTCAGAAATACAAAAATATTGATTAGTCACTTTAAAGACTGCTTAACGAAACCAATTAAAAACGATTGCTGCTTTAAAGTGTATTATTCCTTGAACTGGTTTAGACATACCTACACAGATACGGGCTGCTAAAACAGAATTGCTTTTTATTGAAGCGTTGCTATTCTGTGTCTCCCTTCCACTATCAGCTTCCGGTCCCTCATCCTGAAAATTTCAGCGGATGATTTATGTAGCAATGTTGCTCTGTGACCTCAGAATCCGCCCCATCCATACCGCACCTGTCACTGCGCCACTGCCTGCGTGCTTACTGAAAACCGATCCATCCGTGCAAAATGGCAATTTTCCACCCACCTAGAGAAAGGGAGAAAAAAAAGGATTCAATCCATTTAGAAGCAAATGTAGGAAAATTATATGATATGTAGAGCAGGTGCGCGAGGGCTCGCTGCTCCGCTAACGAGGGAGCTGAACTGCACGCACCGCTGACCACAACATCTGTCGTTTGTAGGGATGCAGTTTGGTTTGTACCTCTGCAACACAGTTTGCACAGCGAGAGACAGGCGATGATAGAGCGCCAAAGATGGATACAGATGGAAGGGACCGGGGCCCGTTTTCAGCCGGGGGCACAGAGGTCCCATGCAGGGGCCCGGTAGCATATGATGCATGAGGATCCAGCGGGGATAGCAAAGAGTTATACTTGTCTGGTTTGGCCCAAGGTGAGGCCAGGCTGACCCAGTTTATCCCAGGTGGAAACCCTAACGAGCTCATCAGGCCTAACGAAGCTAAACGGGATTCTAATTGGCTGCGGTATGATGTCCCGAAGGTCAGAGTGCAGGTACCTGTGCCAAGCTGCCACTTCCTGCCAACAGCAGGTCACATGACCAAACTAAAGTCCCTCCGTGTAAACAAAGTAGTGAAAGGACAACAGGAACTTCTTGCATTAGCTAAACCAGAGTTTGTTATGCTCAGAGGTGAGATGAAACTACGTTTTTACTCAGGACAGAGGTGGAAGAAGTACTTTTCTACAACCAAAGAAGTAAAAGTAGAAATGTTTAATTGACGACAAAATATCCGGTTACAAAAAAATCCAGAATTAAAAATCTTTAGTGTAAAAGAATAAATAGTTTGCATCAAAAAAGACCAACATTACAAGAAGTAATATGTTATGGGCAATGGTTCATTTTAGAGACAAATAAATTATATTACTGGATTATTAATTTGTTATGCGTAAGTGTCTATCAAAGCTGGTACATTTTGAGCCTCTTTACTTTGCATGCTGTTGCTGGACATTTCAACCTATCAATATAAAAACAATTGTATGTCAATGTTTATTTATATGATGTATTAGCAAAATAATTTGAATCCATAAAGGTATTGTAAAGGTGTCAAATATAAGTAGTTAAATAATAGATGTGAGGTTAAGTACAGGTACCTCAAATGTTTACTTGTGTACAATACTTATGTAACAATCTTAATGTTGGAAAGTTGTAGGCTCTATTCAGTAGTATACAACGTATTTTAAACTGGCTCCACATTGACAAGCTACATTGTATTTGTTTGTGATTGAAACAAAGTTATATTCTGTATTAATGTACGTGTTGCAATAGCCATTCTGCCAAATGGGTTACTAACACTTGATACTTTGAGTGCTGATAATGCTTCTGTATAATCCGAACGGCTGCTCTGTTTATTCAAGACTACACACTGGTGTGGTGATCTGCTGCCACCTCCTGGTCACCATGCAGTGGCACAGCTTGGTGAACAGAATTGTCGAAAAAAACAAAACCTGTCCAGTAAATTCTACATAAACATAATTAAAGTATCTTTTGAAATCACAAATACAGAATTATTTGGAACAAGCTCCACATGCACACTCATCACCCAACACATTCTACCCTAAATAAAACACATCACACAAAGTTCTGGTCAAGATCCTGTATCAGTTTTTGCAAACAATCTGTGATATGTACATGGAGGATTGTTTATTTCCCAATGACGGAATGAAACATCATGTAGGATTAAAATGTACTGACAATCAAAGAATGAATAGTTATTCATATTTGCAGTACACGAGTACAGACCCGTCAGGTCTTTCAAGGTTTATAATTAAAAGAACAAACCTTAATAGACTGCTAACATGAGTAAAAGTCTGGGGAAAGCACCTGAATGACAGACAGTTGTGCAGTATTCCACAAAGGCGGTTAAACCCAAATAAAAAGTCAAAGGCAACAGTATGATCTTTAGAATATCTAACAAAGGAAAATAATAAAATACAAATGGTAAAAACCCACGTATATCCTCTATAAGAATAAACATATAAAACTATGAGGAAACAAAGTTTGAAATAGAGATACACTTTCTTTTTTTTTTAAAAGTAATGTACAAAACGAGAGCAGGTGGTAGCGTTAGTCCGTTCCACACAGGACGGTGAGGCGATTCTGTCAAGAGGGGAAATAAACAATGATGAGAATCAAAAGCATGTGCATACATTTCTCCCCTCATACATTGAATGTTGAAGAGAAACAGTTCCATAGTGACATTACATAAGGGATGAATAAAATACCTTCAGCTGACGAATGCTCCTCAGAGCGGTTTCATCCAGCAGAGACAGATCCACTGAGTCCATCTGGCTGGCCAATAGCTGAACACTCTGCAGACACATCACATTACAGATCAGAAGTCATATATACCAGTGTGAGAAAAAGTTTTTAGAGAGTACTTGTCCATGGACAAGTGAGTTTGGCAATTTACTTGTCCGAATACATTTTTCACTTGTCCAGAATGGACACAAATTGGGGCCACTGGAATCTTCTTCTTCTCCATCGTATTTTACATTTTGCCACGGTTTTACGACACCGCTAACGTAAGTGAGCGGTGAGATTTTACTGCATCACACATAGGGTTGGTTATCGTTTGGATTTTAACGATTCCGGTTCTGCTTTTCGATTCCAGTCATTTTCGGTTCTCGATTCCGGTTCTTTGAGAGGGTAAAAATAAGTCCCATGAAAAACTGGGAGAAAAATATATTTATGAAAACATTAAGTCAAATCTGTATTCCTATTTACAAATCACTTCATACTGTTTAATCTATTACGGTTATTGAATACAATTATATAAAAATAATCTCTGCATTGTTTAGTTAGTTTTAAGTGGTGCAGTTTGAGAATGTACAATTGGCCCAGTCTCCTCTGATGTTACACTGCAACCTTCCTGTGAGACAGAGTCCAACCACACACGTCCAACACATAGGCCTTATAATAATAATAATAATACATTATATTTATAGCCTATAGGCCTAGCGCTTTTCTACAACTCAAAGCGCTTGACGCTTACACATGTCCTGCAATACACATGCTGCAGCTGCCCAGCTGCTCACTGTTTGTAAAAGTAAATAAATAGTATTTTCATTTCAATAATGTACTTTCTATACCCTGCTTCATAAACAATACTGACATCCCTCGTGCTCCTCCGAGGTCTGGGGGTCCGGGGGAGTGTGAGGAAAGACGCTAGGACACAGGGAGGCTGCTTCACTTCATAAAGGACATGGCGGTCAATATTAACAACACAGGAGCTAAAACGCTTAATAGCCTTCATTACGCGTTAAAGAAAGAACATAAGAAAGTTTGACAAAGATGAGGCTGTTAAACGGGCAGCAGATCCGCTGTGTGTAGAAAGAGAGAGAGAGAGAGACGCTGAGCCGCACCGTGCAGCGATCAGCTGATACGGAGCATAGAGAGAGAGAGCTGCGGTCCGCGGGGCTCGGCCTCCTGTCCTCACAACTCTTATCAATCCCGGGACCGGACAATTGTTATTTCTTGTTCCTACTCGGAACCGAGTTTTGCTTCCCAACCCTGCCACTGTGCTACACTTCCCGCCCCGCCCCGTCTAACTGTACAGAAAGCGGCGAGATGCATTTCCTTAGGAATCGACAAGCAGAACCGAAACTAACATTTCTAAACGAACAATGGTGGACACGTACAATTTGCGAATGAGTTCTAC